GCCATCTAAATCATTCCATCTTCTCCACAAAAGGCAATGGCTCTATACCTAAGGGAAAAGTAATCTATTATGAACTCAAGGAGCTTGATGGCAACAGAATTTTCCTAACAGAGAATTGAATAGCTCTAGGTGCTAATAAGTTATAAATAATGGTTCAAATTCCGGGGCCGGCCCCATGGCGCACTGCTACAGTGCGCCGCTTGGGAAGTGCGGCGGCGCTCCCGCCGAGGGTTCGGATCCCACATACAGACCGGTTCCCGCTCACTGGCTGAGCGAGGTGTGGGCGCAACGCCAAGGGTTGCAATCCCGTTGCCGGTCCCGGTCCGGTACGGGCGCGACACTGAGGGTTGCAATCCGTTGCCGGTCACGAAAAAAAAAAAAAAAAGACAAAAAAAACAAACAAACAAACAAAAAATAATGGTTCAAATTCATAAACTACAATAAACAAAATTGGAATTTGTCACTAATCTTTACTTCTCCAATTCTGTTCACATTAGAAATGGCAAAACACTATTATATATCAAGAACCACTAAAATGTTCATATTCCTTGACCTACTTCCTTAAATATATTCTAAGAAAATTATCAAAAGAGGGGAAAACCTGTGTAAAAAAATATTTACTATAATATGACTCACTACTCTAGAAAAAATGTCCAACCAACAAGGAAAGGTTTAGGGTTTTGTTTTTTAAATTGATTTAATTTATTTTTACCCTGATTCATTCCTTCATTTGACAAAGGATTTGTGATAGCTTACAAGAACACATCATAATATATTCATCGTATATATAAAAATTGGATTAAGGAAAAAAACAGTTTAAGTTTAAATATGCTAACCAGGTAAGGTCCAAACCAGTTGTTGCGGTTGCACTTCAAAGTTTATTCTGAGTTTCTGAGTAGCCAAGGTAAAAACCAAAGTAGCCATTAAATAATTCTCATTAAAGAAGAAAGCATAGTTCCTCAGGAAAAACAAGAATTGTTAATAGCATAGCTTCTGGATAGTGGATGTATGCAGACATTTAAAAAATAATAACTAAAGATTATACAACAAAAATACTTATGATAATATTAAGGAAAAGATACAAAATTATATATATTGTCTAACTGTAGTTATATAAAAACATGATACATATGGAAAAAAGACTAGAAGACCATGCACGTAAATTCCCCTCTTCCCCCATGAAACTGATTTCTTTGACCACAAGGACCATATTGTATTCTTCTGTACAACAACCATACCTATGGAATATGCTACATACTTCAGTAGTTTAATATTTTTAACTATATTAAAATGTCTGTACTTACTTGACTCATTTAAGAGAGTATTTGACCTACAAGATAGAAATACTCAACGTAAGACAAACAATGAACATAAAATGTATTTTCTGACAAAGAACCCATTACTGCTGCACTATGAAGAGCAAAGTTGACTAGAGACTCCTTACATAGTTGAAAAGCACCAAACAGTCCCTTCTCAACTCAAAACTTCCTCATTCCATACCATATATATTTCAGATTCTTCCTTAAGGCTCACAAGATGTTAATCACCAAGAAGTATATTGTTATTCCCAGATAAGGAATAATACACAGCATTAAAAAAAAATGCTTTATTCATGTTGGAAAAAACAAAAACATTTCTTATGTTAGTTCATATTTTGAAAAGAGAGAAACCAGAAATCTCCAAAATCAAACATGACCACAAAATTTTAACAAAATTTTTACAAATTTTAACAAAATTTTGTATAGACTGAACTTCTCAACGTTAAATCATACCACAACCTGGTAGATCCCATACTATCAAAAGCCATAAAGTGTGTTCTTTAATTCAATTCCTATTATTTACTTTTTCTTGCTTCTCAAATACCAACTAAGTACAACCAAAATTTCCTCTTTTAACATAGGAAGTAGTCTTCGGAGCAGAATTTAGATTTTTATTGTGGCTACTTTTTTAAAGGGATATGTGTCCTAAAACACATCAATCAGAGCTGACATATTAGTCTTTTAAAATGAAAGATTCTAAGACATTTTACAAATATAAAAATGGAAATTAGACAAAGTACAGTTATCATACAACATTCAATGGTACTGAACAGAAAAAAACTGCATCCACCCCTCCTCTATAGGCACCACCAATAGTAATTTCAGTGGCCCCAAATAAATACATAATTTAAATGAGATATTTTGGGTTACAGTTACTTTAACAAAAATTACAATATTTTCTTTTTAAAAAATAATTAATAGTAGAATTAAGAAGATTAGAAAGCCCAGATAATGTGTTCTATTATACAAAAATGAGTTAATGTAATCTGACATACTTTACTTAAATTTATTTTCATCTTTTAAAAAGCACTTATTCCCAGTCCTCGTTTTCCAATAGTATAGGGCACTGATGATACTTAAAAATTACCCTCTACCATCACCTTTTTTAAAAATAAGGGGGTTTGGGCCAGCCTGTGGCTCACTCGGGAGAATGTAGTGCTGGTAACACCAAGGCCACAGGTTCGGATCCCATATAGGAATGGCCAGTTGGCTCACTGGGTGAGCATGGTGCTGACAACACCAAGGGTTAAGATCCCCTTACCGGTCATCTCTTAAAAAAAAAATAAGTAAATAAAAATAAAAATAAGGGGGTTTGATTCATATTGGACATACTTGGTAAAGAATTTTCTTCTCCCTTCCCTAGAGTATTATCAATTATTTTTCAGTAAAACCTAATTTTTAAGAAATGTCTTTGAATTAAAATGGAAAACACAATAATCAATACTTCTGGAGAGAGGAAATGAGAGGATGGGAAACTGCAGAATATGACAATTCCCAAAATTTGGGTACGACTCACTGGACTGGACAAATCTGGGATGCTAAAAAAGACAAATTCTGAGATACTCAAATATTCTCCTAAATTAACCACTTCTTTAAATTAGGAAAGGACTATATTTTGTTTACACTTACTAGAAAGGAACAGGAAACAGATTTTTTCATTTTAGTAATAAAAGGGCTAACGTGTATGTGAAAGAATTAGTAATTCATTCCATTCAGTTATTTTTGTGAAAAGAGAAGCAGTATTTCTTTCAACTGAGACAGCAACATTTTCAGGCACTTTGATATCAAAAATGCAATTTCAAGTATAAGGTAATTCTTCCTCTAATATCTCCCTTATCATAGAAGCAGATTATTTAATGTATAATAAAAGGATTATAGGCAAGTAAGAATAAAGAATTTTAAAATGAAAAAAACTGAAGGAAAAAAATGAGGAAAAAAATTAGACAAGGAATTCCTTTCCAAGTCAAAAAAAAATTTTCCTACTGAAAACTTGGCACTCTTCAGAAATCAAGAAGAAAATCTAATATGTAAGACAATGAAAGTTAGGCTGGTTCTGTCAACTGTGCCTTTAGTGTTTGGTTCTAAAATACTATGTAATCCCTGTCATGAAAGCATAATCAAGTTAGGATTAAAATATTATCTCCAATAGTTAAATTTTCTTCTTCTTTGAACAGAATGCATTTCAACTCTTGAAATGTACCAAAAGCCTGAAACTGCCACAAGACTGTTTCTACAAATGAATGGGACTCACAGTAATGTGACTCCAACAATATATTTGTTAGTGTATGCACTGTGAAGTCCATCATACAGCTCTCTAAGTCCTCAAATTTCTATGATAGAATCTCAGAAATCACTTGACATATTCAACGTTAACAAAGAAAGGGTACACAACTCCAGGTATCTATAAGCCTAAAACTACAAAGATGTGACACGTGGCTCATTTTGTCTCACTCAAGTTGGCCTCTGTTACCAAACATCCATTGGCTTTCTACCATGACATCTGCTTAATAGCCATGTGAGGTCTCCTTGAATTCTAGAATGCTTGAACTCTAGATTCCCAGTGATTTTGATTTAGGTCTAGTAGACCCTTCCAGAGTTCTCAAGTGAGCAATCAAGTCAGTCTTCACACACACTTCAAGCCTGGTGGTGAAGATTATACATCATGAATGGCACTACCTTAATAGCAGGTTTCACTATGTAGCTTAATGGGTGATATGGAAAGACTATCTGCATGGCCATCTATTGGTCCCTAGGATTCTGAAAGTTTTCAATGCTGGGAGATAAAAGCGGAGAGCTTTCTGCCTACCTGTACCAGACACAAAAATAAGCCATGAAGTTTCTCACCATTTCTTTTTCTAATTTGGATTTAGTAGCTGTTTTCATTTGCCAAAAAGGGAAAAATCACCTTTGAGGTCTGACACAATAATTATTTTAAAAATCTAGAATATAGAAATTATATTAAAAATGAAATGATTCTGAAAAATAAAGTTCTATTCCTTTTTTTCCCTTTTTTCGTGTCCGGCAACGGATCGCAACCCTCAGTGTCGCGCCCGGACCGGACCAGGACCGGCAACGGGATCGCAACCCTCGGTGTTGCTCCTGCGCCTCGCTCAGCCAGTGAGCGGGACCCGGTCTGTATGTGGGATCCGAACCCTCAGCGGGAGCGCCACCGCACTCCCAAGCGGCGCACTGTAGCAGTGCGCCACCAGGCCGGCCCAAGTTCTATTCCTTAAATGCCCTCATTTTTCCATTAGAAAGGAACAAAGGAGACAATTCAGTAATTTTTTATACATACTTCAAAGCTAGAGTTTCTCTTACATTTTAAAATTTCAAAGCAATAAACAATGGAACTTTGTGTACTTTATTAAAATTAGAAGAAATGATCTACACATACACATCTGCATAATGGATATAGCATAACGTTAACTACAAACAAAGACTGAGAGCTAAATATAAGAAGTGAGTCTTGCAGGTATCTTTGATTTAGTCAGTTCTGCATACATGGGCACCATGTTAAAATGTGAACAAAAAAGAGCTAACCCTAGCTCCTAGGTCTTATTCTTTTGTCTGAAATAACAATTCTAAGCATGTATTTGAAATCCTAGTCAAATGTCAGGATGAGTCATTGTACAATTAGAGTTCGCTCTTTAACAGGTACTTATGAGAAGTATTTTTACTTACTCTGGTCAGCATAGTTTTTTGCTTTGAGTTCAAGTTGCCTTGTTTGAGATTCTAAAGATTCCACTCGGGTCTGTAAGTCCTTTTTTTCCTGCTCTTGAGAGTCTTCAAATTCAATGAATTTCTAATAAAGAAGAACAATATATATTTTCATTAGAGAATTTAAAACTTTTTTATATTTTCAACTCCTGTGTTTCTTGTTTTCAAGAATCACCATTAGGTATTAACTACTTAAAGAGATCTCAGAATCACCAGCTTTGGCTGATTTTCAGTTTCTCTATAAAAATTAAGTTTAAAAGCCTCCAAATACAAAAGAAAAAATATGACAAAATAATTTGTTTATTCAGATGTTTCCACTTCAGGCTGGCTGGTTAGCTCAGTTGGTTAGAGTGTGGTGTTATAACACCAAGGTCAAGGGTTTGGATCCCCCTACCAGCCAGCTGCAAAAAAAAAAAAGTTTCTACTTCATATAACAGGCATTTCAAAGGCCATATACATATATCCTACTATTATATGTAAGTCCTTTAACTAATATAATTGTACATTCATCTTGAGTTCAAAACACAATTTTTTAATCCATAATGTGCAAGACAGAGAAAAGAATCATAAATAATCAATAAATATTTGTTAAATGATTATTTAATAGACAGTCTTGTAGGTTCACCTGAACCATGGAGTTGAAATTCCTAAGAAAAGGGCATGTGCTAGGACTATATCCACCAATCAAATTCAATTTACTAAACCTGTTCTCGTCAAGGGAATTATCATTAAATGAAATAATCAAATCTCAGTCATCTCAACTGTTCTATCAGCAACATTAGAACGGATCACTCATTCCTCCTTAAAAATTTTTTTTTTCATTTGGCTCCCAAGATTTTTCCTTGTTTCCCTTCTGCTTTACTGGCTGCTCCTTCTTGGTCTTCTTTGCTGGTGCCTCCTTTTCTCCCAACCTCTTAACACCAGCATGCTCAGCGTTTGCATACATTTTCTGTTCCTTGTTATTCTTTGGTGACTTCATCCAGTTTCATAGCTTTAAATACTAACTGTATGCTGACAACTTCCAAATTTCTATCTCTAGCCCAGACCTGAATCCTGGATTTGTATGTCCAACTGCCTACTGAACAACTTCATTTGGATAAGGTCTAATAAGCACTTTTTTTTTTTGGCAGCTGGCTGGCAGGGGGTTCCAAACTAATCTGCTCCTCTCCTGGACTTCTCTAGCTCACTAAATTACTATGGTCAATTGTTCAGGCTCAAAACTCTGGAGTCAGCTTTGACTCTTCTGCTTCTTTTTTTTTTTCCTTTTTGTCTTTTTTCGTGACCGGCAACGGATCGCAACCCTCAGTGTCGCGCCCGTACCGGACTGGGACCGGCAACGGGATCGCAACCCTCGGCGTTGCGCCCGCACCTCGCTCAGCCAGTGAGCAGCCAGTCTGTATGTGGGATCCGAACCCTCGGCGGGAGCGCCGCCACACTCCCAAGCGGCGCACTGTAGCAGTGCGCCACCGGGCCAGCCCCGACTCTTCTGCTTCTCTAATACCTCATACATCCAATCTAATCACCAAATCTACCTTCAGATTGACCTTTTCATCATCTCCACCACCACCCTGGTCTGTGCCACCATTACATATTACTGATATAGCAATAAGCCTATAATGATCTCCTTACTTCCACTCTTGCCCCTTTACAACGCATTTTCAATACAGTACTTAGGGTGATCTTTTAAAAAGTAAATCAGATCAATTTATTCCTCTGCTCAAAAACTTGATGGTTTACAATCTTTACCACAGCCCTTACCATAGCCTCCCAGGTCCTACACAATCTGCTCCCACCATTCTTTTACTTCTTTGACTTCATCCCCTACTTCTCTTCCTTCCCTCTCCTTCCCATTATATGATTCAAGCCTCTTTGCAGTTCCTCCAATACGCAGTTTCCTACTGCCTGGAATTCTCTTCCTCCAGATATCCAAATGGCTTGTTCCCACCTCACCTCCTTCACATCTTTGTTCAAATGTCACCTTCTTAGTGAGACCTTCCTTGGCCATCCTACTTAAAACCGTAATAGCCACTACTCTGGGAGACTAAGGGAAGACATCCCTGAGATATTTAAACTGAGACCTGAAAGATGAATAAAAGTTCCTCAAACAAAGAGAGGCCAAAAGAAACCAAGGATAGCCAAGCTTAGAGACATGGGAGGAAAAATGGCCTGAGATAATGCTGGAAAACAGACAAGGACCAAATCATATGGGGCTTTGAAGGATATTGGATCATACTGAGAATACAGAATGCCATTCATACTTTGAAAAGCTCAATCTAGTAAGAATATGGTGAATGCAACGGGAGGCAGAGGGTGGGAGATAAGAAGAGAACAAGAGGGGCGGGCCGGTTAGCTCAGTTAGAGGGCAGTGTTATAACATCAAAGCCAAGGATTTGGATCACCAAACAGGCCAGCTACCAAAAAAAAAAAAAATACCCAAACAAGGGAACAAGAGTATTGAAAGGAGACTGAAGGTTACCACAGTAGTCCAAATGAGAAATGACTACTAACAGTGGCACTGAGGATTCAGATATGAGGATGAATTCAAAATATTTAGGAGGTAAAATAAACAGGATTGGTGACTGATTAAATGTATGGGAGAAGGAAAGGTCATGAAAAAAACCTAGATTTCTAGTTTGACCAACGGTGCAAATAGTGGTATCACTTAATTAGTGGAGGGTGGAGGTATGAGTTATTTAATAAACAGATGAGGGGGGAGCTATATGTAATATAATAAATTGACTTTCAGTATCATGGTAAGCTACCTATGAGGTATTCACATGCACATATGAAATGTTTAGTTGTAAATAAGGTACCTCGGTGATCTCCATGGCAGCATACACATTACCCACAATTCCCTGCTCTTTTTCTCTCTTCCAGCCACCCAGAATGCCCAAAAGAAAGAAAGCCAAAGTCAAGGAGGCGGCCCCAACCCCTGCTGTTGTGAAGAAGGAGGCCAAGAAGGGGGTAAATTCTGTTTGGGAAAAGGTCTAAGAATTGGCACTGGACTGGACATCCAGCCCAAAAGGGACCTCACACACTTTGTCAAATGGCTGTGCTACATCTGGCTGCAATGGCAAAGGGCTATCCTCTATAAAAGGCTGAAAGTGCTTCCTGCGATTAACCAGTTCACCCAGGCCTTTGATGGTACTCAACTGCTTAAGCTGGCCCACAAGTACAGACCAAAGACAAAGCAAGAGAAGGAGAGACTGTTGGCTCAGGCTGAGAAGAAAGCTGTCGGCAAGGAGGATGTCCCCACTAAGAAACCACCTGTCCTTTGAGCAGGGGTTAATACTGTCATCACCTAGTGGAGAACAAGAAGGCTCAGCTGGTAGTGATTGCACATGAGGTGGACCACATCAAGCTGGCTGTTATTTTGCCTGCCCAGTGTCCTAAGATGGGGGTTCCCTATGGCATTATCAAGGAAAAAGCCAGACTGGGACAACTAGACCACAGGAAAACCTGCACCACCACTGCCCTCACACAGGTTAACTAGAAAATGAAGGAGTTCTGGCTAAGCTGGTGGAAGCTATCAGGACCAATTACAATGACATTATGATGAGATCCGCTGTCACTGGGGAGGCAATGTCCTGGGTCCAAAATCTGTGGCTTGCACTGCCAAGCTGGAAAAGGCAAAGGCTAAAGAACTTTCCACTATACTGGATTAAATATACACTGTTGAGTTTTTGTACATAAAAATAATATAAATTTTCCTTCGAAAAATACAAATAAAATAAGGTACTTCATTGTTGAGAGTATAACTGGTACAGCCCACCTGGACAATGAATTAGCAATGTGTATCAAAAACCCTTAAAGAATGTACTAAAAGAATATTATCATTATTTTAAAATTGTTTTGGCAACTGGTTGGTATGGGGATTAGAAGGGCATTATTTTCAATACATTCATTAAGGGTTTTTGATACAAAATGTTACATGTAGTATGATCCCGCTTTTATAAACTGGAGCCATAGGTCAAGGAAAGGTTTGGAGGCATATATTAAAACACTGGTAATAGCTATTTAATTACTGGTAGGACTTACTGTGGTTTTGCCTTCTTCCTATAGTCATCCTTAAATCTCTTAAATTTTTTGTTTTTTCTTTTCCAATAAGCATGGATTATTTATGTATTTTTAAATAATAAAGGAAAGGAGGAAATGCAAAATACATGCCTATACCTCCTCAGTGGGGGCGGGAGAGCTAAACATAAACCTTACTTCATTTGCAATTCAGCTTAGAAAAGCTTGGTATAGTATATCAAGCATTAATATTACCATTTGGCAAAAAAATGATTGTGGGTGTTTTTCTAAATGTAATTACTCAAAATCAAACTTTAAATTGGGATATTGAGGGGGGGAATCAATGCAAAGGAATAATTCCATTTTAATTATATACTATTCATGCTATATGCCATGACAGTATGTTAGATCTACTGGAAGTCAAAAACTAAAATGTTAGAGTGATGTATTTCATGACTCAAGAAGTGTCAATCCATTCCAAAAATCCTGTAGAAAAACTGTACCAAAAAAAAAAAAGATTCATTGTACAGACTTCATTCTTTCCTATATTTTAAAGATATTTACAACAAAGAATTACCAGTAGGATAGGTGGTTTCCTTTTATTATTGTAATTTGTATATAACAGTATTTTTATGCAAAGTACATGGGATTCTGAAGGTTTTATGCCAGCCAGAGACACTTTGAAGGAGGCTAGGGTAATACCTCCAAAAACATTTTGAATGAGAGGAAAAAAAGGTAAATTAATGATCATGAAGTCGTCTATGGACATTCATATGTGGTTTAACGTGGCTTCTTGTCAGTGGCATCACTTCACAAAGGTGGTCTAGCAAAAATCATGGCAGGAGAGGGGTACTTTTTCAAATTACAAAACCATATTGCCCCTGGAAATTCTGGCTACTTGCCTACGCCCACAGCATAGAGTTTGTTGGATCCCTCAGGTATATGGGTATAAAGTGCTCTTCCCCTTTGCCTTCTCACTCTCTCTCTCACATGCATATTCTTTTTTCTAAAAGGGAAGGGAGGATGAGACCCTGTGAGTGAGCTTTTTCAGCATTTATAATAAACACATCT